TGCCAAAAATCTCCTATGACCCATGTATGCAAATTTTCTACTAAATTTTAACCACTGTTAGTGAGTATTCTCAGAACATATAGGACAACCTGTCCTACCCTTAATTTTACATCCTGCTAAATTTCCAACAGCAGGTAAATCATTAATAGTCCACATTAGTATTGCTCTCAAATTGAAGACTGAATTAGTGTGTGCATCATATACATTCACCCCAATATTCCATAATTCGTTCAAGTTATCTATAAGTGGTTACAAATATATGTCAATATCATTCCTAGGCTGTTTGGGCCCTGGAATTAACAATGACAATGTGATATTTTCTTTTTTCATGCATAACCATGGTGGTAGATTACAAATAACCAACATCAATGGCCAACAACTATAGGTAGAGCTAAAATTGTTGAATTGATTGAAACCATATGTAGCAAGCTCAAGCCTAAGATTGAGTGAATTATTTGCAAACTCTGGCCACTTGTTGTCAATTAAAACCCAAGATGGAGAATCCACAGGATGACGCATTTTACCATCAACACTCTGATTAGTTGAATGCCATGTTAATGATTCAGCAATTTTTGGTGTACTGAACATCCTCTGGAATCTAGGTTTTATAGGAAAATATCTTAAGACTTTAGCAGGTACACCATTTTTACTCTTTTGTGTCTGCTTATCAACTTTCCATCTTGAAGAACCACATTTTGGACAACTGTCTAGTTCTTTTTTATCATTTCTAAGCAAACAGAAATCATTGATACATGCATGAATCTTCTCATATCCTAAGTCAAATGTCTTAAGAAATTTTCTTACACATAGTGTGGATGTAAGAATTACATTACGTTCAGGTAACATATCATGTAATATGTTTAGAAGTTTCGTAAAGCTATTATCTGACCAACCACTAATAGTTTTAAGCTTATATAAGGTCACAATTGAAGATAGTTTTGTGTATTTTTCATTTCCTAGATACAAAGGAGTTTCAGCATCCTTCACCAATCGACTAATGTTATCATCTAAGTTCTCTTCAAAAGCTTCCTTATTATGTTCTTCATTTGTATGTGCAGCCTCAAACAAGTTTAATATTTCTGTCTGACTTGTAGGCTCAACATTACTAATGAGTTTTTCTCCATGGTGAAACCAATTTGTGTAAGTTGGAT